TCGTAAGCCTACGGCTAGATGGGGCATTCTCCACACAACTTTATCGATTTTTAACTGTAACGGTTCTTCTACCGTATTCACAAGCACATCATTATTAGCTATTATAGCTCATATTAGCTCATTATAACACTAGCTCTTGTCTCACATTCATCACAATTGTTTTAAAATCTTCAGCAAACCCTATTAATGTCTGTATTTGAAAATTGTCTTTTACTTGTGTATTTGTTTTATAAACACGAACAACAAAACTGTTTTACGTTTTTATTCTTTCTTAAACTGTCAACGACTCACTCTCTTTTTTTTACAACATACTGCCAACATAAAATAAAAAATTGGTTACCAACCCCAAATAAATAATGGTACCAACATGCCCCCTGCGTTGAAAGGTTCTCCTTTAAATAAAATAACAAAAGAAAACAAAACAGTGACAATACAAAAGCACTACATTACAAATGGTAAGTATACTGAACTAATGTCTCTTGTTTAATCACTTTCACTTTTCAGTTTCAATAGGCAATGGACATATTCTTGTAAAATCACGCTTTCTCTCATCAGTGGAGGTGCGAATCAACGCAACTCGTGGAATTTCGTCCTTTCCAGGGAAAAGCTGAGATATACGACCAAGTTTCCATAACAATGGTGGTAAGTTATCTTCCTTCAATATCACCAAATCCCCCAATTTCAAAGATCCATAATTCACTTTCCATTTCTGTCGTTGTTGCAATTCGGAAATGTATTCCTTAGCCCATCTTCTCCAAAAATGTTGTTGGACTTGTTGTAGATATTGAAAGTTACCTAGGCGGTTCTCTGTGATATGAATTAAATTCGGGTCCGGTAAGGAAAGAAGAGGACGTCCGATTAGGAAATGGGATGGAGTCAAAGCTGTGAAATCATTAGGATCACACGACATTGGTGCAAGAGGACGCGAGTTTAAAATGGCCTCGATCTGCACAATCACGGTATAAAATTGCTCAAACGTCAACAACCTCAGATTCAATACTCTTTTTAAATGGTATTTGGTTGATTTGACGCCCGCTTCCCACAACCCTCCAAAATGTGGTGCATATGTTGGTATAAAATGCCAAACTATACCATCGTTGTGTAATTTATCAGCAATCGTTTGAGTGTTATCATTGAGCATTGTTGCTAACTGCTGCAATTCCTTATTTGCACCAACAAAATTTGTTCCATTATCGGAAAAAATATGGCTAGGTTTTCCTCTTCGTGCCACAAATCTTCTCAATGCCAGCAAAAATGAATCAGTACTCAAATCAGTAACAAGTTCCAAGTGAATCGACTTGGTAGACAAGCAAATAAAGAGACATATATAACATTTTGATGTTTTACTACCTCTGCCTTTTCTATCCTTTATGGTGAATGCGCCTGTATAGTCTATTCCTACAGAATTAAATGGAAAAGTCGGCGTTACTCGTTGCTCCGGTAAAGAACCCATTATCAGAAATATGCTGTTAATAGGTTTAGTCTTAAAACATGTAACGCATTTCTTTGTTGTTATGCGTGCCAAATTTCTACCTGATATAGGCCAATATTGATCTCTTATTAATGCTAACAACTGTTGAGATCCTATGTGCATGAATTTAATATGATAATATCTAAAAATCAAAACTACAGCTGGGTGTTTACTTGACATAACAATTGGATGCCTTTTCTCGTAATCGAACTTAGAATTTGTTAGTCTTCCCCCAACACGTATTAATCCATTCGCATCTATAAATGGGTTTAAATGTTGTAAAGATCCCTTGCGAATACTGTTTCCTACTTGTAGTTGTTTAATTTCTTCAGAAAAACAATCGATTTGACTCAATTTTAAGATCACTTCCGTAGCCTTAGATATTTCCGTTGGTGTTAAAGAACCAAACTCTCGGTTTTGTTTTTCCATTTGACAATTTGAAACAAATCTCAAACAGTAAGCGACTGAACGCTGCAAACGGTTGTAATTGGAAAATCTTTGAAATTCTATCACATTAGTTTTAATTTGACTTATTAAAACTGAAACATTTGATTTTAACTCTGGAAGTTTACCTTCAAACTTAATTTTATCGTTCATCAACCAATCAGGTCCGTGCCACCATAATGAGTTGTTAATTAAATCTTTAGGGTTAACTCCTCTTGATAATAAATCTGCTGGATTTTCTTTAGTGTTTACATGATACCAATCATTTGGTTGAGTAAGCTCTTGTATTTGTAACACTCTATTTCCCACAAATGTCTGCAAAAGATTAGCCGGTGTTTTTATCCAATGTAATGCAACAGATGAATCCGACCAAAGATAACAGGTTTCTATATCAATTCTCAATGATGATATTATTTTATTCATTAATTGAGCTAGAATGAGACACCCGCATAATTCCAATCGTGGTGTTGTCAATGGTTTTATTGGTGCCACCCTTGTTTTAGCACAAAGTAGATGGACGCAAACTTGATCATATGTGTTGACACTTCGAACGTATATACATGCTCCGTATGCTTCCTGAGATGCATCTGCAAAGCCATGTAATTCTACTGTCTTTATTTTACCTTGAGATATATATCTTTGAACAGTTGCCGTGTTTAATATTGACAACTCACTTCTAAACGTATCCCATTTTGAGTGTATCTCTAATGGAAGTGATTCGTCCCAAGACAACTTTTCTTGCCACAATCTCTGTAAAATCATTTTTGAAATAATAACACAAGGACTCAACAATCCTAATGGATCAAAGATCTGGGCAATATCTGATAAAATCGATCTCTTTGTGATTATTTGTTGTTGTAATTCTCCAATTTTAAAAAACAAGTAATCTGATTTGCATGACCAATATAACCCTAATGTTTTTGATGATTCTCCATCACTAATTTTGACAGCATCATTTCTGTTTGGCTCAACAAGAATTTCATTCAAGAGATGCTCACTGTTAGAAATCCATTTGTGTAACTCGAACTTTGCTGAACTCAAAATCGAAATAATTTCCTTTATTACCTTTGATGTTTCTCTTATTGAATCTCCACCTGTGATCAAATCATCCACGTAGAAGTCGGATGCTATTACTCTTGATGCCTCTGGATGTTGTTTCCTGGTCTCGATTGATAATTGTTTCAAACATCTAACAGCCAGAAATGGTGCACTCGTTGTGCCATAAGTAACGGTGTTTAGTTTGTATGTTTTGATTGGTTCATCAGATTCATTTCTCCACAAAATCTTCTGCAAATTCCTTTGTAACGGTTCAATCCAGATCTGCCGGTACATCTTTTTTATGTCTGCACATACCGCATATCTATAGAATCTAAAACGAACAACTATTGAGAACAATTCATCTTGAATTGTTGGACCAATGTACTGTAGTTCATTTAATGACCAGCCGGAATCAGATTTTGCTGAGCCATCGAACACCACACGCAACTTGGTAGTTTGACTGTTTTGATTAAACACTCCATGATGTGGTAGATAAAAAGAATATCCATTGTCATCCTCTTCACACTCTGACATGTGGTTCATATCATTGTACTCAGTCATAAATTCTTGATAAGTTTGTTTAAATCTTTGATTACCTTTGAATCGTTTTTCCAAGGCTTGCAATCTATGTAAAGCTGATAATTTCGATTCACCCAGTTTCTCAGGTGATTCCTTTAATGGCATTTGGACCATGAATTTTCCATCGTTGAATCTTGTAACAGATTTCTGAAACAACTCTTCACATTTTTTATCTTCTGCTGAAATGATCTTGTCCATTGTACGTTCCTCGATTTTCCAAAAACGTTCCAATTGATTTGCTATTGGATCAGTTTTGATGAAATGACATTGTAATGGCGTTGTCATTGAAGTTGTTGCTGTTCCCGTCACAACCCATCCAATTCTAGTTTTTTGTAAAGTCAAATTTTCAGATAGCTTGACTTGTCCTACTGATAATAGCTCCCAAAACACTGATGCTCCAAGAAGAATGTCAATCTTTCCTGGTTCGTGAAATCGTGGGTCAGCCAATCTAAGATGAGATGGAATTCGTAATGAATTTTTATCTATTGTTTGTGTGGGTAAATCATTACTGATCTCATCAATAATTAGAGCTGAAATGTTAGTATTATAATTATTATGACATGAATTTATTGTAAAAGAACACTGTTTGTTGATTGTTATCGGTGCTTGTGAAATGCCGCTAATGATTTTATTTATACTAAATCCTCGTAACTGCAATTTTTTGAATAATCTTCTTGTAACAAAATTTGATTGTGACGCCGAGTCTAGTATTGCTCTGCATGAAAAAGGTACGCCTGCTTGATTAGGAATTTGAATTATTGCTGTTGCAATTAATACCTGAGATGATTTGGTTTCAAACGCTGAACAAACCACATCTCCAGGTTGACGACTTGTTTCATAGTGTAATAAAGTGTTATGTTTTGAATTACATTTTTTACAATTACCACTCCTGCAATCGTTCGCAATGTGTCCTATTTTTAAACAATTTATACACAACTTGTGTTTTCGTGCTGCTTCGGATCTTTCTCGGGGTGTTAACTGAAGAAACTCCTTGCAATTGTATATGTGATGTTGACCCCTACAGAAGATGCAATGAATGTTTACTGTGTTGAATGTATGCTCTTTGGATTTCACTTGATTTGGCTTTGGTTTTGATGTTGCGTTTTTTGCTGACATGGTTTCTAATAGATCTGCTCTATTTCTTAAAAAGTTCATGAGATCGTCCAAAGATTGTAAAATATTCGGTTTTTTAATTTCTTCCCATTCACGTCTGGTTACCTGATCAAGTTTGTTAACAACGATATAGATTATGAGTGTGTCCCAATGCTCAACTGGTTGCTTAAGATTTGCTAATGACCTTAAATGTTTAGTAACATTATCTATCAACTGACGTAATTGAATATGAGATTCATTATTTATTGTTGATTGATTGAGTAGAGCCCCTATATGGTTGTTAATTAGCAAAGGTTTATTATCAAATCGCTGGCAGATCAACTCCCATGCCAATATGTAATTATCAGCAGAAAATTCAAGTGCTTGAATTACCTGTAATGCGCTACCTTCAATTGAAGCTCGTAAATAATGGAACTTCTGAATTTGACCAATTGTGTTGTTTTGATGTATCAATGACTCAAATGTATCCTTAAATTCCAGCCATTGTTCATATCTGCCATCAAACTTAGGTAATCGAATTTCTGGAAGCTTTATGTTATTGTTCCGAGAAGGTCCGAGTAATGGTGTAACTTGTGACGATTGTACTGACTGATTGTCGTTTGTGTGAATGCTAGGAACAGCAACTGCTGCTTCAGTCTTCCTACTCCTTACTAATAATTGTTTCGCTTGTGATAATGCTTTATAAAAACTGTTTTCAAAGTTATCCCTCTCTTTTAATTGTTCATCGTAATTTTCATGTA